GAAAGGACAAAGAAAAACAACGATTCAACCATTCCCTATCAGCCGTCACAGGCAAAAGTGAAGAGGAAGATACTAAGAGGAAGATACCTCCAGCTGAACCAGGCTCAGCGAGGGAGGGCGCCCACCCCCTGCTGAGACTGATAGGCGTGAAGGAAGGAGAAGAGAGCAAAGAGGAGCGAAGCAAGGCAGCTATAATATTACAATAAACCCGCAGCATTTTGGTGGGGCCAGCTACCCCCTGCCAGTAACATGTAGCTCAGAGTCCCAGAAATTTCCAGGAAGACAAAGAAAGAGCAGGGATGGACAAGGCAAGGATCGCTGAATCGATCACAAAATGTCGAGAATTAAACACTGAAAGCTCATCCTATTGATCGTCTTGCACACAAAACCTTTGTTTTTTGTATGTAACAATGATTTCCTTTGTTTTGATACATCACGGAAGCAAAGGCGTATCACCATGACGCTGTCAGATAAATATCACCAATTTCCCTTTTTCAAAAATGTTGTTGAATAAATCATACCTTGCAGATCCCAGCACGTAGGCTCGTCTTATTTCATGACACTGCTTGTCTGCCGCTTGGCTCGTTTCATCGCATCTTGTTTCTAGAAAGGTTTTGATGTTAAAGCAAATAGCGCTCAGAACCCTTGTTAGCAGGTGTGGAAATGAAAGGAAAGTCTCAAACGAGCACAACAGAAGTTAAAGGTGGTGACTGGGTCCTGCGATTTGAGGGAGGTTGTGAGCAAATATTGGCTAATGCCATGCTGCCTTCTGGTGTTTGAAAGCCCAACACTGTCTGCTGTGTTTGCTTTAATCCTATTGCCTGCTTGCCACTGCACCAGCTTACCTGTCAACATTTGTTGCTCCTGATCTGAAGCCTCAGTTGGCAGACTGTATTTATGCCACACCTCCAGGTAGACCCACTAGGGAGAGCTCTATCTTCTGCTTTTTTTGTGCCCAGGAGAGGCGAGAGGAATGGAGAGAAATGCCAGGAGGAGGAAGAGGGCAGACTGAGCTCAGCTGCTGGCTCATTTACCCTTTTTTCCCCCCTCTTCAGCTTCCTGCTTTTTCACGTACATCTGTGTTGCAGTGCAAATGTGGATATCGCACATGTGTGTACACACACGAGCACAAACTATATCTCACCATATTCCTGTGTTGTCCTTCTCTCTTGCCAGGCGAACAAAGACCCACTGTTTCTGACGGGGGTGACCTTCCCTTCAGAGTATCCTGCTAGCCCAGAGACGCTAGTCAAGCTAAGCGTGTATGATGCAAAGGACAAGACCCAGGAATCAGTGAGTAAACACTTTTTGCTCTGCATGTGTGTGCGTCGCATATGTGCATGCTAAAAATCCAGTGGGTGAGAAACGGGGAGCTGTAACGATGACAGCCTGCTCACAACTGGCTTTGAACACATCTCTCGAGTGGAGGTTTTGCTGTACCGAGCTTTAAACTATACAGGAGGATGATCATTAAAAGAAATCCGGTTTCAGAATCTCATTATGTTTAAATTTATCCTGCTTATTCAGAGGTGCAAAGAGTTGCGTGCTGATTTACAGGACTGAATCACGGCTGTATTGTTCCAATCAGTCTCAGACCAAAACTTTTTGCCTCGAGTTTTGAAGGAAAAGATTGTGAAGCCTTCAGTGAGCATCCGTGCATGTCACTGATCCCACAGGAAAACCAATCGGCACATCAGTGGGAATGGAAAAGAGAGCCAGACATACAATCCTGAATGGGCCGGGCCCTCTGATTTAGACGTTTAAAACAGACTTTATAACAGGCTTTTCAGTGTGCGCCGACGTTTGATCTCAATCAGCCACCCCACTCAACCCTGCGTGCCAAGATCTTAATTTGGCATAACTTGCTATGAAACATTCATGAGCTTTTTTTTGATGAGTTAGGACTTCAGTA